ATAAGTGACCTCACCTCATAAAAAGTTTGACGCTGTGCTACATCCACAACATTTGACTAAATGCTATGAAACTTTCAGGAACATATAAGGAGACCATAAGGAACATTTTGTTCATTTCAAAATTTTTATTTCTGTGACCTTAGGTCAGGTCACTTTTTGGGGCCCGGCATGCAATTTCGGACATAACTCGAGAAGTATGGGACATAGAAACGTCATTCTTTCACCATCTCGCTTATTTTATCAAGACGCGTCGAGCAAGATGCAACTTGACCTAGTTTGGTCAATGTTTGACCTAACATGACCTCGATCTCAGGTCACCTCAGGTCACCAGGTGACCTGAGGTGACGGTTTTTCTTCAATAACTTTTAATTGAATAGAGATAGAGACTCCGCTCGACGTTTATCGTGTTTGTCTCGTCAATGCGGATCGAATGCTATGCAACATGACCTATTTCGGTCAGGTTGACCTTGACCTGAGGTCAAATTTTGAACTTGACCTTTCGAGGTCATATTATATACCATTCGATGCGTCTTGACGAGCTAAAAACGATTATGTGTGAATTTTTTCTCTATCTCTTTGGGAAGAAAAGTTATTGCAGAAAAAGCATTTCCGGGAAATTTGCAATATTGATCTGATATTACATGACCTCTATAGGCTTAACCGTTGACCTTAGGTCAAATCTGAGGAGAGTTTAGCGAAAGGGCGTTGCAACAGCTATCAAATGCTTTTTTTGCAACTTTCTAGCTCATCTAGTTCCCGAGATAAAGCGGGAAATATGGAGGGATGTCGAGATCGCTAAAAAATCGCAACATTTTGAGTTTGGTGACCACTGCTGACCTCGTTTTTGACCTGACCCATAAATGATCTACGTATTTCTTGTAGATCTCATTTCAACCTATCCAACGCCGTTTACCGCTTGTCGCAACGTTGCGCCGTTTTCGAGATCTCAGGGGGTTGTTTTCACCCCCCCCCCCCTGCAGTTCGTGTTCGGCTCACACCCGCTGCAGTGCGCGTGTTAAAATTGATGCCCGGAGTGGTCCTGAAAGTTCCCTGGCGATATCTGCTATGCTTTGGAAGATATCGACTGAAAAGGAGAGAGGCAGGGGCGTCGTTTTGTATAGGCCTGGTAGGACTCGAGCCCTATCAATGTTTATATGGGCCCTACCAATGTTCCGTGAGCCCTACCAGGGGCGGCGCCACGGGTTTTCGATAGGGGGACGGGGACGGGGGCTTGCCTGACCGAAAATTCCAAAAGTAGATACTTATCGTGTATGCAAAAAAAAAACGAGGCACGTAACGCCGCGAAACTTGGCAATGCCCAAAACACATCGAATGGTGCATCCCGTTTCCAAACTTATCCTAGGACACCTAAGATCGATCACCTTTTCAAGCATCCTTGCCTCTAACTCAAAATTTGCAGTTTTGCCAACTCAAAGCTAGTTTCCTACAAGCTGCGCATTGCTTAGGTATGAGTAGCAGTGCCAACTATTCTTACGTTTCGTACTTTCAAATTTTCGATCTTACGTCTGGTCAGCTTCATGGCTTCACCATCATATAGTTAGTCATGGAGGAAAAGTGGGAATGTCTTCTGCCCTGACAAGTGCGCCAAAACTGCAATGTAATTTCAGAATCATGACATCACCACCTGATCCATATGCAACGGTCAGGGTGCAGCTAATGGCTAGCTGTCAGTGGTCATGCCATCGGTGGTCACTCAAAAGGTCATGCTAGGTCATGGAAGGTTACCAGCCGTTATTTGATCACAGTTTCTGATGGATTTTACTTACCAAGAGCTTCGCAGGAAAAACGAGCGCATGCACCGTTGAAAAAAAATCGAGTGAAAGGTTCTCAGGTCCGGCGACCTCTGCAGGTGAAATGCCCCAGGGTAGGATTCCGATCCTTGTTGATTAACTTCGTCAAAAATGGCAGTAGAGCTGTGATGTCCGCACCATTGTGTTCGCCATGATCGAGCTGGCACGACCTGCATCGTTCTCATATTCACCCTCCAATCGTAACAACTACAGCAGGGATTTGCAAATGGCGGGGCACCCCCTTTGGGAGGTAATGAAGGTCTCTGTAAACCTCATCCCTCATCTCTTTAGCATTAGTGGCTCTCCTTATGGAACAGGTTTCTTGACTGGTCTGTTTCACCCCAGAATTCGAAGACTAGTCAAGGTAAAACCGAGCGCACCACAGTGAGCACAATTTGATAAGCTGGTGTATCTCAGTTTTCATGTAGAACCTTTCACGTATCACGTAACTACCTAAAACCCTTTCGTGCACTCATGCAAAAGCAACTGCCATGTTTCAACAGCTGGTAATTTGGCATTTTCACAGCCGCTGACGTAAGAAGGGGAGGGATGGGGGGCTCGATTAGACCCCCAGCCGTTCGGCCGCCGACCGAACTTAGTTTTGCAGGAAAAAAAACGAGTGCTAGCGAACCCCTTGACGAGAGGGAGCCGATGCTACCCAATTATAAGGTCTTGGGCTACTGCGTGCTTTTTTGGTCCTGCCTGTGATCTATCCGAACACTTCTCCCCACAAGTGCTGGGGTTAAATGGCATATATTTCAAATGGTTCCTGTGGTAGAACTGCCATGCTTGAATTTGACTAATTAGGAATGGAAAATATCCATATAGTAACGGAAATCTATGGAATTTCAGTAAACTTGGTTTTGTCGGCAATGGGGTCTGGCAGTGGGGTGGGGAGGTAATAACCCTGCCTGGCGCCCCAAAAAGGGGGGCACGATCCCCGAGGCCCTGCCGATCACCTTATAGCTACAGGCATCACAGCTCCACACCTTTTGCAGATGGCCAGGACCCCCTGCGATACATCCCAACAGCAATCTTTATTCAGAACCTGCCTTGATTAACCAACGATGCATTATGCGACGGATAACTCTACATACAACGCATTATTATCAACTATTGAACGGGCCTCGCCGATAGGGGGGGGTACTGTACCCCCCTAACTTTCGATAGCGGGGGACTTGTCCCCCCCCCCCCCGTCCCCCCCCGGTGGCGCCGCCCATGAGCCCTACCAATATTCTGTCAGATATCACTTGATGAAAAGGGCAATTATGAACCGTTCGGTCCCTGATCGAGCTAGAGCTTCGCGGGAAAAAACGAGCGTGTCCTGTGACACTAGCCTTCCAGGCGGTGGGGGGGGGGGCATTTTTTGCCCCCCTTACATTTTCGATATATCTCGAGAACAGCTGCGCCGATCGTCACCAAATTTTCAGTACCCTCCCGTGAATAGCTACTGCACATTGTGACCAAAAATGTTTCCAAAGGCTATGATAGGTTAGACGCTAATACGTCAGAGTGACGTCATTTCTACCATTTTCGACCCAAAAAAGGTTTCGCGAGAAGAGCTGTCAGGCCTACAGCCTTAGAGATACAGAAAAAAGTTTCAAACAGAAAAGGTGTAGAATTTAGAGTGCTACAAAACTGCGATCTTGGATGTTTTCAATTGTTTTGATTTTCACCCCCCCCCCCAAAAAAAAAAATTGAATATAATAGCCGAAAAACCAAAAACGTTTTTGAATTTAAAAATACGGTAATATGTGATTGTCCCTATCGTCTTCTATCTACATACCAAAGTTGAGATCGATACCTCTTTTTTGGCCAAGTTATAGCGAAAAACTGTTCAAAATTGATGACGTCAAATTTTCAAACTCAATTTTTAGCAATTCTAGACCTCATAACGCAAAACAATGACCACCATTAGACTCCCCGTGACGAGCTGCATCGAATCGATACCCATTTTAATGCAAAAATATCAACTTTGAAAATTGATCTTTTTTACCTGACTTTTCTATTTTTTTTTTATAAATTTAGTCCGAACCTTTTGATGGGAAGGATTCACAAGGACAGAGCCACCGCTAAGCGAAGCTTGTTGCGATGACCCTGCCCTCTTCCCTCCGATCGCGCAATTCCGATTCTATGGCAGAATTTAGAGTCCAAAGTTTAACGTGCGCACAAAGCCGCGCACGGCCGGTCCCCTCGCTGACTTCGCCTGGCTACGGCCTGCCACCAACCGCAACCATACTTGTCAGGAGGCCCATAAATGACAGACCTTGACCTGACCTCCACCAGAACGTGACCTTAACAGTGCCTGATGGTCTTATAACCAACAACATTGAGTTGGAAATGACAAACTGGCCATAAAACATGCATCGCACAACCTTAGTAAAGTTGGGTTCATGTGGTGACCCTTGATGACCTTTGGTGACCTGACCTGTGACCTAGCCTGGTATGACCAGTGACCTCTAATAGCAACATATGTACTAGACAACTGACGCCCTATCGCTGATTTTCGACAAAATGCGTTTTACTCGGTGTTATAGCGCTTTCCCTAGAAGCCCCGTGAACGGTGAAACATTTTATCTTTGACCTGACCTGTGACGTCATCGGTGACCCTGAGGTCAATGATATGTGGTTTCCCTCATCAAATTGGACAGGGCTATCGAACGCCGTTTGAATTTTCCGGATCCGTCCAGTATTTCGGAGATACGGGGGGGGGGGCAAAAAATCCCCCCCCCACCGCGCGGAAGGTGGCCGGGAGGCCCACCGTCTGCCGGGCTAATGCCTACATAGACACGCGTTTTGTGCATTGGGTTTGGTGGTATGTACCTAGATCTCCAAGCAGTTTTTTGAATGTTTTAATTTTTATTGTCAAATTCAATCACCAAACCGGAAAAATAGTGGCTGAAATCTGATGAGAAAGGCAAGTTTAGTGGTACCCTACCTTTGTAAGCGCGTCATAAATGGCGTCCCCCGTTTTTTGGACCCTACCAATCATTTTTGGAAAACGGCACCCCTGGAGAGAGGGGGCCGTTTCAGCGCTCCCCCCCCCAAAAAAAAAGGGGCGCGGGTTAAATCAAGAGTACTTAACGTCTCGTCGTGCTCGGCCGCTTTCGCTCGAGTTATTCGCGAAAAACCGAGGGGGAGGGGTCCATCCGACCCACTTACAAGTGCGAGGGTTATGATGCCACTTACTTATAGTCTGGCCGTGTAGCCATTCAAGTGCAATGGACGAGTCTCGGAGGATGGCCATTTCATCAATCTCTGAAGTGTGCTGCTTCCTTTCCACGTAGTCTTCCACTGTGCCGGCTGCCAGCTCCATAGCGATGAAGTAGAATCTTTTTGACTTTTCCACGTGGTAGTACCTTGTAAATGAATAAGAAAATAAAGTGAACCACAGCCATTTTAAATATCACACTTCAGCATTTGCAATGTGCAGGCTTGTCGCCGACTCAAAGTCATATACGTTTATTCATGGTGGCACGGAACATTTTGTTTTTTACTATAACAAATTTCATGTGCCTTTTACTTGGCTTTCAAAGTCTTTAGCATGTGTGCTTTGTTCTGTTTCTCGTTCCCAATCCTTTCGATTTTCACAAAACTTGTTATCTGCTGGACCAACAGGGTGGAAAATAATAACGCGAACATAGAAAATGTTAGCTGAAAAACAAAATACTTACAAATATCACAAAACGATGCGCGCTCTGATTGGACGTACAAAACGCGACTGTATCCCACCACTTCTAGGACACAACGGGGACTTTTTGACTGACGACAAAGAAAAGGCGACACTTCTTAACGACTTGTTTGCTCTGCAATCGACGCTAGACATACTGAACGACCGAATGCATCAATCCAGCACAATCCAACTAGAACAAGAACCAGTTCCAACGCTTCACGAAATTACAACAAACGAACAAGAGGTACTAGAAATGCTAAACTCACTAGACTCCAACAAATCAACCGGACCAGACGGCCTCCCTGTAAAATTTATCAAACTAACAGCGCTTTTGATTGCAGGACCACTGCCTCAATTATTCAACAAGTCTCTTTCCCTAGGTATATATCCTCAAACTTTCAAGACAGCTGTTATCAAACCGATATTCAAAAACAAGGGCTCACCATCAGATCCAACAAGTTACCGGCCAATAAGCATTTTATCAGCTGTCTCCAAGGTCTTTGAAAAAAATTCAAAAACATTTACACTCACATTACGAGCAACTCACTTCTTACAGAGAAACAAAGCGGCTATCGCAAGAACCACAGCACTGAACTCCAATTACACTACTTAACCCGGCCGGGCCCGGAGGGTAATCCCAACCACCGCAGCCCGGGGGGGGGGAGTTTTTCGCCCCGCCCCCTCTCTAACTCCGTAAATAAGGGAGCTACGGAAACAAAAGTGATACCATACGAAAGGTCCTTACACAACGATTCTAAAGCACCTAAAATTTTTGACCTCAGTTCAATTTTCAAGGTCAGAGGTCAAGGTCAAAGGCAAAAACCGGCACATGTGTGGTGATCTCAAAGTAAGCCTTCTAGAGGACGGCAGGCTGCATCAAACCGGCAAAATTGGGTGTCAAATGAAAGAAGAGAATCTGAGGATTCCGAAAATGTGCTCAACATCAAAGGTCAAGGTCACGCTCAAAATTGACCTCAAACTTGGCGCTTTTTCGCACATCTTGCGTGCTAACTTCCAAGATGTTTTGAAATGTTTTGAGGCTTATCAGTTCCCTATTTGTGGTTCATCTTACGATACAAGGCTGCTCAAAGGTCAAGGTCACAGAAGAGTATCACTGCTAGAGTATCCCCTAGAGTATCCCCTAGCTAGAGTATCCCCCTCAGTAAGGGTATCCCCTGTCACTGATTCAAGTTAGTAATAATAAACAAGACAATTTTGCCATCGGGAAGCTCTAAATGAAGGCTTAGAGCAAAATAGATGCCAGATTCGTGATCAGCGGGTACAAATCCATCATAAACGACCTTTCATGTGTCAAGGTCAACCAGAGGTCATTCGAGGTCACATGAGATCAACTTGACTTTTTGACCTTGACCTTTTCCGAACAAAATATATATCATTCGACGTGGCTTGAAAAGGCGAATGCGATGGTACCACTGCCGTAGCTCTAGGACCACTTTTGTCGAAGTTATTTGCGAGAAACTAAAACCACATTTTGGGGTCGTTGACCTGACCTCTGACCTCAGGTCACCAAAATCATTTTTATATTTTTCTATAGGTCAAACGCTATACAACCGTGCTCGTAATTTTTATTTATATCTAAAACTCTATTTTTAGCAGCTATTTGAAGTTTGAGTCTTTGACGCCGAAGTTTGCCTGCAGGGGTCTAGAAAAATTAACCTTGTGACGTCATCAATGGGGCTAGGTCCGAATTTGTTTATTCTGAAGATGTCAAATTGATGGGAGAAAAGGTACTGAAAGTTTCGCTTTCCTATCCCTAAGCGCTCGGGAGCTATCGCAAATATTCGCCAGGGGGGCGAAAAACGCCCCCGGGCCCGCGAGCGTTATCCCGCGCCCCGTAGGGCTATCGGCGGACCCTACCACCCGTAGGGGACGGCGGGGGGGGCGTTTCGCCCCCCCCCCCTAAGATCTCGGAAATTTACCGTCCGATTTTCAACATTCAAACGGCGTTCGATATCCCCACCGGGGAACTACCTTGTGACCAAATGTCATTGACCTAGGTCAAACCGATGACGTCACAGGTCAGGTCAAATGTCGGATTCTCACCGTTCACAGGCATTTCAAGAAATGTGCTGTAAAATCGAGTAAATTGGTAATTTATTGAAAACCATCGATGGTACATTGTTCAACAAACGCGTACTTTGCTAGCTGAGGTCACTGATACCAGGTCAGGTCACAGCGAGGTCAGGTCACCGGGGGTCACAATATGAAAGTGTCGTGCGATACATGTTTTATGGTCCATTTTACATGACAAATGCGATTATGTGGGTTAGGCAGCCTTTGGGGCCAGCCTAGGTCACGTTTTGGTGAAGGTCAGGTCAAGGTCAGGTCAAATTAGGTCAAATTTCAAAGCTGATATTTTTGCATAAAATGGGTATCGATTTGATGCCGCTCGTCACGGGGAGTCTAATGAAGGTCTTTGTTTTGCTCTACGAGGTCTAGAATTGCCAAAAAATGAGTTTGAAAATTTGATGTCATCATTTTTGAACAGTTTTTTTTCGCTATAACTTGGCCAAAAAACGAGTTATCGATCTGAAATTTTGTATGTAGATAGGAGACGGTAGGTGTTATCACATATATTCCGGTTTTTTAACCCTCGCCGGACCTATTGGTTTTCTACATACGCGCCGGCCGAGGGGGGGGGGGGCGGGTACGACCCCCCTCGCCGTTTCGCCCCTGGTGGAGCTAGCGCGTCGCGGAAAAAACGAGCGTGTGCGCCGTTACGAGACGCAGAGATTGGTACCCGATTTTAAGGTCCTAGGTCAACCGGTGACCTCTGAGGTCAGGTCAAGTGCCCCAGGGTACGGTTCAGTTTTTGGTGAATAACTTCGCATAAAACGGCCGCAGAGCGCCGATTTTGGCAGCATCGTGTTCACCTCGCTCAGGCGCGTCGAATGACATACTTTTTGTCCGGGTCAGGTCAACTTGGGGTGTTGACCTCAGGTCAAGGTCAGGTCAGCACCCCCAGATCAAGAAGTTGGTCGAAAGAGGTCATGTCGCATATCATTCGATTCGGCAGACCTTCCTGAGTCCATTGGTGCCTTTCCCGACTCGCTAGCTCAATTTGATCAAGAGTTATTGACGAAAAACTAATTTGACCTTGATGACGTCATAAATGACGTCACGCAAGGTCAACATTGCAAAAGTGACGCATCTAACCTTGCAAGGAGTGCATCAAATCACGATTTTGTGTGCTTGAGATAGTTGGAGATCGTTCCCGGCGCCAGAACAGTAGTTTGAATTTTTCCCCATTGACTTATAATGGTGAGGTCACGAAAATGACCTGACCTCATATGACCTTAAGGAAAAATCCGAGATTTACAAGTTGTGGGACTCATAATGGATACTAGATCCTGCGAGTTTCATTTCCCTGTGACATCTCCTCTGGCAGTGAGGGCGTTGCGAAGTTGCGACATCTGAAGACCGTGCAGAGGTTCACTTATGACGTCATAGGTTAGTGACCTGACCTGACCCAAAAATGCGGTTGGTGTCAAAAGATCCGGCTTGGATCAAAGGTCAGGTATGCCAAGTTTCAGCTCTCTATCGCCAGCGTGTTCGGAGCTATCGCGAAAAAAACCCTATGGGGGGGGGGGCTGCACCCGCCCCCCCCCCTCGGCCGGCGAGGGTTAAAACTCAAAAAACTTTTGGATTTTTTGGCTAATATATAAAAAAATGTTTTTTTTTTGAATTTTGGGGGTCAAAACTAAAAAATTAAAAAAATACGAGAGCACAGTTGTGTAGCCATGTCAATTCTACACCTTTTATGTTCAGATCATTTTTTTGTATCTTCAAAGCTGTAGGCCTGACAGGTCTTCTCGCGAAGGTCTTTTTTCGGTCGAAAATGACAGAACATGGCGTCATTCTGACGTCATTTGTGGCCACCCTATCATAGCCTTTATAACTTTTTTGTCGTAATGTGTAAAATTGATGCCCGGAGGGGTCCTAAAAGTTTAGTGGCGATATCTCAAGCCGTTTAGGAGATATCGACGGAAAAGGACAGGGGGGCGTTTCGCCCCCCCCCCCCCTACGGGGCGCGGGTTTACCCATATCTTGTACAATTCTCTTGATTTCGGCCTCGACTTTACTGCAGTGTACTAAGACATTTCAAAATATTTCGATAAAATCTGACACAAAGTACTATTGTTTAAATGTAAACATGAATTTGGAATCTCTGGTAAACTTCTTCAATGGTTGACCTCTTACCTGAACAACAGAACGCAACAAGTAAAAATTCAAAATGCCGCTTCTCATTCTCACAAAATCAATGCAGGCTGCCCTCAGGGATCAGTTTTAGGACCTTTACTTGTGCTTATTTACCTGAACGATCCTTCTGACCGCACTGACAATGACATACTATTTTTTGCTGACGACACATCACTATACGCATCTCACTCAGCAGCAACATTACAACAAACACAACTCTCGTTACAACGCGACCTGGACGAAATCTACAAATACGGAGAAACATGGACAATCACGTTTAACACGCGCACTGCAGCGGGTCTGAGCCGAACACGAACTGCAGGGGGGGGGGGTTGAAAACAACCCCCCCTGAGATCTCGAAAACGGCGCAACGTAGCGACAAGCGGTAAACGGCGTTGGATAGGTTAAGATGAGATCGACAAGAAATACTAAGATCATTTTTGGGTCAGGTCAAAAACGAGGTCA